AAATTAAGAAAAGCGGAATAAATAACTAGTTGTACAGAGAGAAGAGCGGGTGAGTGACCGAGTCTATCTCTTATAGTTTTTTCTTGAGGCGGAACTGGACGAGAGGAGCTGCCGCGCGTCACTTCCTCTGATGATAATTTGATATACGTACTTTTCACTTACTCCTATCTTTTTAAGTTTCAGATCATATTCTCGTTCCGAACCCACCATGACTTAATACATGTTCCATGTTTTACATAACATAACCAATTACTTATGTAAGAAAGTGGAACTGATTAAGTCATTAAATCATTAATCATTACACGCACAAACAGCACTGATGGACTGTACATATTTGTATAGTGCTGCTTATCCTTGTTATAACAAATATGTGTCGGCTTTACTTATTGTATTACTTACAGTTATACAAGTTCTTTTGAGTACCTTACGTTACCACCTTCAAGGTGGCACTGTGGCTCCTCACATTCGACATTTTCACTGTTTTGTAACTTAGTCCATCTGATGACAGAAACATGAATTACATTTGGTCCTTCTTGCTGATGGCATTTTAATTAGGAGGAGATGAAATTTTACCATAATACTCCACGAACTAAATCTATATCTGTGCAACTGCTTTACTGCTTCCTAGATTGGATGTCCACTATCAAAGAAAAATGTATTCCTTTGAGGAAGGGGTGTGAGGCGATGTGGATTGAGGTTTTCTCTGGAGGTGGACCTGTCGACTAAAGAGATTAAACACATTTCGGGATTCTAACCCTGTTTACATAAAGGCTTTTGTTATCCATCCACTTTAGGTGTGGGTGTTTCTGTTGTGTCGTGTTCTGTTAAGAGGATAAACATTTGCACCTTGAGATCCCATCTGAGAATCTAAAGAACCGGTTCTGTGCAGGAGACTTCGCGCCATCTCCCCTCCTGGGTAAAGGTCGGGGGGCCTTGAAAACTCTCCTGTGGACAAAATCAAATATATGATGATTGTTGATTGCTAAGCTCTCTTGTGGGAGACACGGCCTACACTGTTATGCAGATGATACCCAGTTATATCTGCCAATCAAGCCTCAGTTATCTTACTTACAAACATGTCTTAAGGACATAAAATCCTGGATGAGCTGCAATTTTCTGAAAAAAATGAAACTTGTACTTGGCCCCAAACACCTCCGAGACTCACTGTCTAAAGATATAGTTACTCTAAATGGTATTACCTTGGCCTCCAGTTCCACTGTCAGGAATCTTGGAGTTATCTTTAATCATGTCCTTTTATTCCCACATAAAGCAAACGTCCAGGACTGCCTTTTTTCATTTAGGTAACTTTACAAAAATTAGACACATCCTGTCACAGACGAATGCAGAAAAACTAATCCATGCATTTGTTACTTCTAGGCTGGATTACTGCAATTTCTTATTATCAGGCTGCCCCAATAAGTCCATTAAGACGTTCCAATTAATTCAGAACGCTGCAGCACGAGTACTGACAGGAACTAGAAAAAGAGATCATATCTATCCTGTATTAGCTTCTCTGCACTGGCTCCCTATAAAATTCAGAATATAATTTAAAATCCTCCTCCTCACCCGCAAAGCTCTTCATGGTCAGGCCCCTTCATATCTCATAGTACCCTATTACCCCTCTAGAACACTGTGTTCTGAATGCAGGGCTACTTGTGGTTTTTTACCTTTAGTCTCTAAAAGTAGAACAGGAGCCAGAGCCTTCAGTTACCAAGCTCCTCTCCTGTGGAACCAGCTTCCAGTTGTGGTTCGGGAGGCAGACACCCTCTCCACATTCAAGAGTAGGCTTAAGACGTTCCTCTTTGATAAAGCTTATAGTTAAGGCTGGATCAGGTGAGTCCTGAACCATCCCTCAGTTATGCTGCTATAGGCCTAGACTATCGGGGGATTTCCCATGATGCACTGAGCTCCTCTCATCCTCTCCCTCTCTTTCTGCACTCATTCATGTCCCATTAATGCATGTTACTAACTTCACTTCTTCCCCAGAGTTCTTCTGCTTTCTCGTCTCGCAGGTTCTCATGGATCCTAGTGGAGCCTCCTGCCATGGTCCTGCTTGACTCCCATTGCTAATATCACAAATATTATTGTTATTATTATTATTATTACTACTATAATCATTGCTCATTGTCCCCCATCGTTGTTGTTGTCGTTGTCATCATCTTCTTCATGTTCATCATCACCAGTCACTACTACTAGTGTAGTTGTTGCTACTGTTGTTGCTGTGCACCCTTGTCTCTGTCTCTTTCCTTCTGTGGTTACTTCTGTTCTCTCTCTGTCTCTCTCTGTCTTTCTCACCCCAACTGGTCGAGGCAGACGACCACCCACCAAATTTTTATTCAGTTGCATTTAATTGTGGTTCAACAGTGACATCATCACTCCATTTAGAGACTGCAGCCATCTGAAGACAGCACATTCCATCTGCAAAGAGAGGCATCAGAGGAAAGAAAAGGCCTCCAGTGTAGACCAAGTTTTCAGATTAAATAAATGTTATTATGTCTTGCTGGCCTGATGACATGACATCATGTTGAAAGATAAAGAGTAAGCAAAAAGACAAGCCAAATATGAGTGTTTTGTGATTTCAGAGAGGTTTATATGAGTGTGCCTTCATCAAATAAAGTGACTTCAATATCATGGAACACAAGTGCTCTGAGCAGGCGCAAGACACACTCATTGCTGCTATAATGCTGAATAGCTTAGCATTTTTTAATTTTTGTTTTTATTTCGGTTTATTAATCACAATATGCCCAATTATGCATCCATATAATTCTTAATGATACCCCAGAGTGTAAAGATTTGATGTTAGTTATATGAAAAAAATAAAAAAATATTGTACATCAGTTGTTTTGACAGGTAATATAATAATTTATTATAGTGGAAGGAAACTGAGTAAATTCAACTTAGTGGTAACATTTATATAAAGAAGGTGCATTTAAGTTTGTTGCATTGTAAATTTTAAATACATTTGGAGAAATGCTGCCTATGAGTCTAATATACTAACTAGTTTTACCTTTAATTAACTGAATGGAAGTGGTACAATCAACCTAATTTACCCAACTTATCAAAAGAATAAATACTTGACTTACTGAAATCAAATATCTTTCATGCTTAAATTAAGTTGAACTAACTCATCAAATTTTAGTGTGGTTTAGTGTAGTAATTTATTTTTAAGTCATGAAAGTTACTTAAAGAATACTTATTTAATGAGCATGTAACTGCTGTTTTACCTATAATGCATTTGGCTGGACAGATCAAAAAACGTTAAATCCATTTTAGTGTAATTAATGTGGTTGGCCTTTATAGGGCAGTATAGTTGCTGTGTAATTTATCACTGGTGTGACCTGACGAACGCAAAACTAAAGTAGTTGGGTCATTGATGGATGGGTCAACAAAGCAGGAGACCGCTGTTCATTCCCTGTTTTCAACCTCAATGAGTTATGAGCTCAATGAGCCACACTGTTTCACTGGGTGACATGTTTTTTAATTCATTTATTTTGACTCAGTCCCACATAGCAAAAATGTCTACAGTCTATAGCAGGAAAAAATGGGAGCTCTCCTGGTCACACACAATCTCGTATTAAAGATAAACAGTTCACTAAAATTTGTTTGTGAAAAGATTTGGGGAGAGAAATAGTCAGCGCAGTAACAGAATCTTGATTCATATTTGATTATCACTGCCTAGTTTGAAGGTAGCCATGCCCTAAAGCACGCCCTGCTTTATCAGCTTTTTCTGAGTTTTTGGAAGGTGATGTAAAAGTTCATTTGAAGCCCTGTACTATATGCCTAAATGTTCTCAGTCACCATTGTCCTTTTAAATGTTAACACTTTTCTCTTAAATGACAGCAAGTCTAATCTAAAACTGGTTCCTATTTTGTTATAACATATAGAATAATGCAGTCGAATGACGTACCCTTAAATACCAATAGTCACATTCTGAAATCTATAGCATAACCCAATGTACTTTTCTATTTAATAAATTAATAAAAAAATCCATCTAAACCAACATATTACTGGCTAAGATCACCATGTGTATTAGATTGTAATGTGTATGGAATAAAGGAATTATATGACTTTTCTTTGTTTTGATATTGGTATTATATATCAGCCAATCACTGCCCTGCTCTCTAGATATCAGCGTCTGTGGACTGCTAGCTATAGAGGTGCCAGTTCGCCTCCTGGGCACTGCCGAGGTGCCCTTGATCAAAGCCTGGAGTGCCGACTATGTGGTTGCCCCGTCACAACTTTACGTACTGTTACCGTTCATGAAATGTCCAGTTCCTTGGTTTTTAATGCATCTTTCTGTCTCTTGAAAAAAAAAAAATTTTTTTATTAACAGGAATGGTAAATGGACCTTTACTTGTATAGCGCCTTTCCAGTCTTCCAACTACTCGAGGCACTTTTACACTACGTGCCACATTCACCCTTCCACATACATTCACTCAGTGATGGCAAAGTCCATCGAACAGAAACTAACATTCATACACATTCACACACCAATGCAAGGTATCAGGGGCAATTTGGTGTTCAGTATCTTGCTCAAGGATACTTCGACATGTGGCACCAGGAGCCGGGGATCGAACCACAATCTTCTGATTAAGGAACGACCCGCTCTGCCTCTGAGCCACAGCCGCCCCTACAGGTGTGTTGGTTTGGTGCGGAGATTAGATGGATAGAAAGATAGATTTTTAGGGGGATTTGAAGTCTTCCCGACACCAAAAGTAATCCTTTTTGTACAGGTTGTATGAGAGAATCTCTAATCTCTCTTTATTTAAATGTCACCCTTCATTCACACACACACATCTCTGCTCCTTCTCTCACAGCACTGTGAGTGGACTTCTTGTCCCCCATATGTTCCTGTGTATTTCACAGCTGTGTCTGTACAAATGGAGCCCACTGAGAAAACAGTCACACAAGCTCTGGGCTGTGAGAAAATGGCGCTGCCAACAACAGCGACTCACAGATAAACGGGTTCATCTGAATTCTCTTTCTGTATCTCCTGCCAGATCACAATAACGGAGACTGTGCTGTTCCTGGTTCAGTACACATCCAAAGAGTTCGACCGGTCAGAGAAGACGGTGGCCACCGGGGATTGCTGTTACCTCAACCCACTGGTGCGCAGGACCTTCCGCTTCCTCGGTGAGTCTTATGTCTAGTTCTTAATTACTGCAAATCCATGCAGCATTTTAACTGCTCTAGGTTTAAAATGCACAGTTGAGTTTGAAGCGTTCCTGTGAATGGCTGTGGTTGCAGACACAACCACCTATCCCGCTCTGAAAAACTGAATGGGATGTGAAGCATTTTTCTATGTTTTTCAGACAGCTTTCCTCCCACAGTCCTACGTGTACGGGGAAATTGGCCTCTATAAATAGGCTTCTGGTGTGAAAGGTTGTCTGGCTGTATGTGTGTCATCCTTGTAATAGACTTGCCGGACTATTGACCTGATGTGCTTCAGAAACAAGGAAGTGCTTCAACTCTGTAACTTCCTGTCTTCTCTGCAAGTGGGGATGTGTCTCATTACGTAGTTTGACACATGCTGCTTGTGAACACCTTGCAACCACAATTACAAAAAGATTTAATACTTGTAATCTAACATTAGTCTTGTTTCGATCGGTGATCCGATCTTACATTGACGATTGAGCGAATGATCACCGATTTTTCCTTCGCCAATGTTAAGGCAATTTTAATTAACTTACTAGCAGAACTAGGATTTTATAAAATAATCTCTAGACTCTGCACCCTACTGTGCATTTAGAGAAGTTTTAACAACATGTCCGCCCACTGAGCCCTGCTCAAATGATGACAAACTAGTTTGCAGTCTCTTTCCTATAAATCTGACAACCTGCATCTCTGTTCTCCATATGCCTGCTCACCAAAACTAAGGTATGCGCTCTTACTACTCTTAGTTAATGTTATTTGTTGTGATATTAAAGAATATAATAATGTTAAATGAACATGATGCTGCACAGACACAAAGACTTTGATTATATGCAAAAATGTAAATCTGCAGCTGCTGTCTACACATGTCTCACGTCTCAAGTGTTTGTTTTCTACAAAATGTGAATAAACACGACATTGATACCCAATTTAAGGGCACTGAAGTAATACATGTATCCACATGTTGCAACCAAATCCCACAGACTCCGGCTGGCTGTGTAGTAAGTTTTTGTGTCGCAAAATGTAGAACATAATGGTTTATGTAATGTTTGTACTGGTTTATACCTTTAACCATTAGTAAGGTGGCTGTTGGCTGTTGTTGGTGGCCCAGCCATGCTAGAATTTAATTGACTGTGATGTAACTATTCTACTATAAACACCTGGCAATCAGATTGCATGGTGGCAATCTTGAGTAGCCACAATTTGGACCTTCTTCCTTCTACACACCTCCCCCCTGACACCACAACACCCCTCCTCACCACAGCCTCTCTCCTTGCTGAAAAGATGCAGAAAACTAATCCATACATTTGTTACTTCTAGGCTGGTTACTGCAACTCTTTTTTCAGGTTGCCCCAATAAGTCCATTAAGACGCTCTAATTAATTTTTAACCCCCAACAACAATATTAAAAAAAAAAAGGAAAAGAGATCACATCTCCCTGTTAGCTTCTCTGCACTGGCTCGCCTTTAAAATTCAGAATAGAATTTGAAATCCTCCTCCTCACACTTTTCAAATAGGCAGGTACCCAACAGTTCCCCCATGAGCAAGCACTTGGCGGGGGCAGGAAAACTCCTTTAGAAACCTAGGACGCCTTCGGCTCTAGGTGGGTGGTCGTCTGCCTCGACCAGTTGGGGTGAGAGAGAGAGAGAGAGAGAGACAGAGAGAGAGACAGACCTAGAGAAGTGCACATCAATAACAGTAGCAACAACTACACTAATAGTAGTGACTGATGATGATGAACACGAACAACACAAACTCTGCTTACATGTGGGTACGCCTGTAAATGTCCGAAGATGTCGGTAGCCCCTCCGCCTTCCAAAGCAAACATATTCTCTCACACACATTTCTTTCTGCAAGTCTATCCTGTACAGTTTTGACTGGTAAACACAGTATAGGTGCCTATAGACTTGCAAACGTGAGTGTGTTCTAACAGGTAAATCAGCTAAAGAATCCCCTAGACTGCTTTCTAATGAAACACACAGACACACACAGTCTGTCAAACACACACATTGCAGCACAGCATTGGCTTCTCCTCGTCCTCTCTAATGCTTAAGTGAGAGCAGGTGATAAGGCTGCAGAAAGAGGATTATTACCTTGATCCCTGAGGGGGAATCCACTTGGTGGCCTTTCTTTACCCTCGCATTTACACATCCAGCATGCCATTCAGGCTGCTCGTTAATGTTAACAGGGCTCCCATTCCAGGCTAAAGCTCTTTTCATCCCTGAGAGACTCGTTGGAAATTGGTTATCATGTATGATACACAGGTAAAGTGTTGTATCTGAGTAAGGCTTATGTCTTAGTGTTAATTGATGTCACTTTTAAAGAGCATTGTGCGATGACTTTTCATCTTTTCATTTACAAAGCGGAAGGCGGATAAACGGCTTCAGCTGCCAAGTTTCCTTTGTATTATATGTTTCTTCAGTAGTGATAGCGCACCACAGTAAGAATCCCGTCCCTGCTAGAAGAAAGATTTATTAAAGAAAAATGTGCTAATCTATTCTCACTTTACCTTACAACTCAAACAGGAACAGGTTTAAATGGAGAATTAAATGGTCACAATAACCATATTTTTGCGCCTTGATCAGAGTAAAAACAACAGTTAATACTACTTTGTCAAAAGAAACTCAACTTTTTGTTGTTCTTGAAGATGTTCTTTTATTGAGTCCCATCCCTTTTTGCTCTGTGCTCCAAAGCTGAGCAAGCCTCGGTCAGAACCTCACTCAGTCAACTTTCTCCTTTCCTGTATTTAGATATGCTATGTGCTATATAGGCTTGTCTATGTTCAGAAGACAACCAAAATTTGAAGATGGTTAAAAGATAACAGTGGCATATATGTAGTCTCATTTTAAGTTATTGTTAGAAAAATGCTTGATGTAACTAGCTACTGTAGCTGCCAATTTATGTAAATTAGGTAGCTAGTTAGCTAGCGTTTTGCTAACATTGGCTTAAGATGTATTTATATACACCGATCAGCCATGACATTATGAGTAGTGATAGGTGAAGTGATTAACACTGTTTCTGGTTTCTGCTTGTGGGGGGTATTGGGTATATTTTTTAAGTTGATTTGTTAGGAAAAAAAAAAAGGGAGGGGGGGGGTGTTTTGGTTTAAAAAAAAATATTAATAAAAAAAAAAAAAATTTTTGGGGGTTTTTTGGTTTAAAAAAATAAAAAAAAGAAAAAAAAAAAAAAAGACAAGGTTTGTTTGATCAACTGCTATTGGAGCACAGAGTAAAAATATGGCTGATGTTGTTATGTTGATTTTTTTTAACATCTTAAATTTGGTGATCTTCTCAACATAGTATATTTAAGTACATGAAAGGAGAAAGTTGACCGAGGTTTTGACAGAGGTTTGATCAACTGCTATTGGAGCACAGAGTAAAAAAGCGGCGGGACTTAGCAAGTGTCAGTTATCTATGAGGTTTGATCAGCTCCTCTGACTGCTGGGGAGTAGTAGGCATTTTGATATCAGAATCATGTAACTTATGACCATGTTTATGACCGTGTCAATGGTTGTGAAAGTGCCTTGTTACGTATTCTGTTGTAGTGATGCTGCAGATCTGAGTAAAATGTTGCAAATGCAAAAATAAGGCTCAAGCTTTAAACCTGAATTTCCCTGTGAAAGTATTTTTAGAGGAAGGTGCTGATGACACCTTTCCAATCTGTGGCACTTATTTCAGCTGAGAGAGTTTCTACTGCATTTGAGGGATGGAGGCAGTTTTCTTTTAGTGTTATGGGGAGGGCTGTAGAAAAGTGCATCTGCCCTTTAACTAAATGCTTACGGCTCACTGAAGCAAACTGCATAAGAGGTGCAGCATTTGCTTCTCTTTAATGTAGCAACATCAGCTAATGGGTCTGTGGTGAGCTGTCAGTGCCTCTTTAAGCACTAGCAACAGCGGCCATGCCAAATTACAAAGCACTATTTAACATACATAATCTGGAAATCCTATTACATAGTGTGCCTGCCTGTGTGTTTTATGCTGATTTTGATCCATGGCTATTGATAACTGCTTTTGGCAGGCGTGTTGGCACAGTAACACAGCACAATGAATGAATGAATCAGCGGAGGCTCTGCTGTGTTGTGTTGAGTGATTGAGTCTCCCTGCACCACCGAGCTCACTTTTTGAGCCTTGGAGCCAAAGGCCTCCTGAGTTGACTTGACTTATACGTGCAAGGATTTGTGTGTGCGAGATCAGAGGGCATTAGATCTCAGAGCTGGAGGATGGTACAGTGATTGCACCTGCTGGCAAAGCAACACTGGAGCTGGAGTGCTGCCCTTCTACAGCAGAGGATTGATAGGCTGAGGCTGGGATGTGAATCTAACTAGCAGAATTTGTTGCCAACCTGTTGTTTGTTTCTCTAGGGCTAATCTTTTAAAGAGTGTGATGTGCAGTGAGTAAGGATTACAACCATGTAGTAAAAAATTATAATAACACAAGTGTCTTATGCCAGACACAATATCAGCCTGATACTGGCTCAACCTGACAAAGAAAAAAAACAAAAATGAACATCAAATATGACATTTGCTACCTTTATCTTGTGTAGTGACCATTGACAGTATATAATTAGGGGGCAGAGCTTCTGGGGCTTTGAAGTGAAGCCAGTGGCAGTGTCTTAAACCTGCATTCTGTCTAATGGCCAGCCTCCATGGGCTGAAAAAAAGAAGTCAGATAGAACTGAGTATTATGGAGAAATGAGCCTCCTTCTCACTTCAATTATTAGCTCAACAGTTTCCTGATGGGTTTATTGTCTCAATCTCTATTTTTTTCAATTTCCATACAGCATGATGTTCATTTAGTAAATTATGGTCCCATTTATAGTAATAGAGACAATAAAGCAGGGTATGCTTTAGGGCGTGGCTACCTTGTGATTGACAAGTCATTCTCAGTGAGTCCATCCAGCTGAATGCACCAAACTCAGATCAAACTGTCAAACTAGGCAGTGCCGCTCAAATATTAATCAAGATTATGTTAATACATTGACTAT